GGTCAATATGAAATGTGTATTCGTCTTAAAGAATGTATTCAAAGATTCTTCTTCTTCTTCTTCTTCTTCTGCCTGTTACTCATAATGGAGAATAGGCCACCGACCAGCATTCTCCAACCCACTCACTCTATCCTGGGTCTTATTTTCTAGTTCTATCCAATTGTTTTTCATTATTCTCATGTCTGCCTCCCTTTCTCGGTGTAATGTATTCTTTGGTCTTCCTATTCTCCTTTGGCATTAGTGATTCCATGTGGGAGCTTGTCTTATGACACAGTTGTATGCTTTCCTCAATATGTGTCCTATCCACTTCCTGATTTCTTCCTCCACTAGGATCTGGTTTGATCTCTCCCATAGTAGGTTGTTGCTCATAGTGTCCGATCAACGGATCAGAAGTATTTCGCGTAGACGATTATTAATAAACACTTGTATCTTCTGGATGATGGTTAGTGTAGTTCTCCAAGTTTCCGTCTCATACAGTAGAACTGTCTTGATATTTGTATTGAAAATCCTGACCTTAGTGTTGATTGACAAATAGTTATTTTGAGTTCCAGATGTTCTTCAGTTGTAGATATGCTAATCTTGCTTTGCTGATCCGTGCCTTCACATCAGCATTAGATCCACCATGTTCATCAATAATACTGCCCAGATATGTAAAGGTTTTTACATCATCCAAATCTTCTCCATCAAGTGTGATTCGATTATTGAATACTGCATTCAAAGATGACATCAGTGAATATACACCTTGAGCGTATTTATTAAACTGTTAATGTAATGTGTCATTAATGAATTAAACTCATCTAGCTGAAGGCGCTCGGTCATGCATCCGCACCCAGATCACGAGTGGGAACGCCGTGCTCAACAACTACTGCAATCGCTAGCCAGATTAGATCAGCAGATTCTCGATATATTGATAGCCTATCAACTTTATCTTCGAACCTCCTCGCTTTTGTCTTTTGGTTTCACATGGTGGGTACGATTCATATTAGAAGGTGTTACTGGTTAAAGCGTTGTCAAACTCCGAATACCTATGGCATCTTCTATGTAGTAAACTGAATACATTTCGAGATGTGTAAATCAGGTCTAGATTGACGAAGAATATCAGTCATTAACACTTATTAAGTATCCATTTGATAAGTCAGTAAATGGGAACTTCTCACTTGTGATTAGATGATAAGGGGAAGATTATGAATTAGATAAGTTACCGAATAGTGTGAAATATCAGTCCGTAGTTAACTTTTGATAAAAATAATCTATCTTATTAAGTAATGAAAATCAATAACCGATTAATGGTTAATTCAATCAATCAACCTTAAACATGGTATACCGACTACATATGATCAAACTGGACTTAAGTTTTGATGAGTTACTTTCGACATATCTGATAGCATAATGGAAATGTTTCATTAATAAGTGATATGATAAAAAAAAATCTCATTACAATTTACACAATTTTCACAATTGATTGATCACTGGGTGATGATCAGTGTCATGTGTGTCAAGTCCTTCTTTAGTTCAGATCGAATGCTATCGACCATGTTACAATGTAGCCAGTAGTCTAGGTGACTCGACGTTGCGTGCACTATGTTGAGATAAGATGGTGATTGGAGGTATTCAACAGTAAATCCTAGACCCGAGTTTTGTGCTATTTGGCACTCGTCAGCATAGTGTACCTGTAATCTTGAGGAAACTAGTGCTCCGTGATAGATTCAATCCCATGTCACCCAGCTCTACAGTCAGAGAGACCTCCTGAAGGTCTTAGATGTATCACTCCTACACTCATTTACCTGTTGAAACTGGTCTCTAAAGGCCTAGAAAATAAACTTTAAAACACTATATACAAACTTCAAACTCCAATAGAAAATAATGTTTTAAGAAACGAACAAACATATTTTGTTCTATCTAACTGTCATCAGTGAATGCAAAATGAAGCAATGTTAACAAAATCTGAGAAGTCACAATCTTATCGATTGAATTGAATAGTGAACACAACGGGAAAAGTTAGTTTAAGGAAGAGTGTTAAATATGAATTAGAATTGATTGAAAATAGTCAACATAATTTCCTGTCAACAAAGTTTCCTGCTGACAATTACCAAATAGTACGAAACTCGGGTTCAAATTTTTCAGATCTAATTTTCATTGTTATTCACTAAAGTATATTTGTGGTATGAATCATGTTGCACTTAATCTAGATCCAGGATTTCCTATCGACTACTTCCAATCACTATCTTTTAAAAAAAAAAAAAAGAATAATTTGATCATTCTTTATTAATCAGTACTTTACTTTCTTACTTACTTACGCTTGAAGCCCCTCTTGGAACTACTACCGGTCCCGAATCCAAATAAATGAGGAGAATTGGGCATGAAGGTTAACAACCTCATCTCGTAGAAAACTAACTCTCTAAAACCAACAACAACAACAACAACAAACCATTTAAACTCTATCCTGAGAGTTAGAATATCTTTATTTAAAAGAATTATAACATCTCATAATGAAAGTCAAATTCTTTACAGAAGCTCCTTCTAATAACCATAGCAACCATTCATTTAAGTACATGAAATCCTCATCAATAATCAATATTATTATTAATGAATAGATTTGATTCTAGTTATAAATTCTAAAAATATTCACACATTTGTATAGATATATATCTATATATCTATATGAATATACAAACAAAGTTTAGGTATATTTACGGAATTTGTTTTATTACAGACAAGTTAGTATTCTAAGTACAAATGAATATACTACAGTACACTACAGTACAGTACAGTACAGTATTGTATACATTTTAGTGAAAAAGAATGAATGAATGAATGAATGAAAGAACTAAGGTATGTATACAATAGATTTGTATAAATTAAGAATTGACAAGAACTTGTCTTTTGTAATAATAATGATAATAATAATAATAATAATAATAATAATAATAATAAAGGTTTCTATGAATAAATCTCCTACCACCCTTTCTTTCTTTCACTTTCTCTCTCTCTCACTCTCACTCTCGCTCTTTCTCCCTATCCTCCCCCCTCTCTCTCACACACACACACACACCCACACTCACTCTCCCTCTCCCTTTCTCTTTCTCTTTATGTTTTGTGTTTTGTTTAGGCAGTATTATTACGTATAGTATTAAAATTTGGCATTTATATTTAAAATGAAAAGAGATGAATTGTTTTTAGTAACAAAGAATTATTTTTGTGTATTCTGTTCTATCTATCTATCTACCTATCTATCTATCTATCTATCTATCTATCTATCTAGGTATCCATCTATTCATCTATCCAGTTAACCATCTATCTATGTGTTCGTTAGATCATTCATTCATTCATCCAAACTATCCATCATTTTATCAATGTACTTATCTATATAAATAGATTTGTTATTATTGTTCTATTGTATAGTTTTCTTTAACTATTCAATAATTTGATAATTACCAGTCTTATCTATTTCTTATTCATAATGAAGATGGTAATAATAATTAAAAGTAATAATGGATTATAGATTAATATTAGTTAAAGAATTAATATAAACTCGATTAAATGTTCGCTTACAAGACACTGAAAGTGCTGGGTTCGAATTCTTTTGGAGCTGAATCGTGGATAAGTACTGGTAAGGAGTCTTATCCAATAGAATGAAACATCTGTTTAGTGCTTTCAAGTTTTCAATGGTGCTTTAACATCAATTAGTTTATAATCTCAATTAAAAACTTAATAATCTTCACAATCGTATACTGATTATAACCATGTGTTTATTAATGACTAGCTTTATGAGGTTATTCTTGGAGTTCTAATGAGAAGCTGTGACTAGTGGAGTTAAACCAGAAAACATTAGATATCTGTTTCGTTTTTAGTTTGAATAGCTCGAGATCTGACTTTATTTTAATCGTAGGATGATTGTTATCGAAATATACATTGCGGCTATTTATGTATGTAATCCTCGATTTAAATCGATGATGGTGAATAACGAGATTAACTAAGTTCAATACAAGAATGGATTTTTAAATATGTCTGTTTCATATAATTGTTGATCCAGACAAATGATCGACGAAATAAAGTCAAGTGAAGACAGTGAAGTGAAATGACATGCGATGAAGAAGGCATGTAAGCTAACTTCATTTAATTAAGTAGGAATCGATATATATATAGTCAGACAAAGATAAACTACAGACATGTGATAAATGAGATAAGAAGTACACACATATACGCTCATATAAAAACAGTCAAGGTTGATGAGCGAATAATTAACAAGGTAACAATGTGACTTAAGAAGAATGAATAAAATGATCTTTCCAGAGGCATAAATAAATAATATAGTACCAGCCCCCTTGTAGTATTGAACCCTTCATCAATATCCTTCCAAGACAAAAGTTCTGTTCATGCAATGAGTGCAATGCCTTCAAACTATTAAATAAGATCATGACTTAATTGAAGCTAGACCACCATAGGAAACCTGGAAGTCCTAGTATAAGACTGGTGAACATTGTACATCTACGATCCTGCAACAAAAGGATTTGAACCCAAGGTATATAGGTCTTGCGCGCGATCATTAGTGTTTATGTTTAACATTAATCAATTCACAATATAGCACCACTATCCATCATTATCTTCAGTGTGTAAGATTGTGGTATTATATTGCTGAAGAATTTCATACTCAAAAACGGGACGATCGTTTAGTACTTTCAGGTTTTCCAATGATAGTTTAACTTTAATCGACTCATCAATTTAACTATTTAATTATTACAATCTTCAACCCCCCTCGCGTTTTTTTTATAATAAAATTTCTACTACTATTATTTTTATTAAGTAGTTTTAAATAACTTATTCCTATTATCTATAATGAATCGTTAATTTCTATGCATTAACTGAATTCTTTTTTTGTTAATTATTCAGGTATTCAATACATATACAATAGACTTTACACAAGATCAACTCCTATCAGTCTATCATTCATTTAATTTAAAACATTGATTACAATTATATAATTTATAAAGTAATTCATTATGAAAGCTGATCCTTCCTATATAGATCTTCTTTCACCTTGTCCTATTTATCCTAATCCAATGTTAGCATTTAGTTCAAATATACAAAATTCAGGAAATTTATTTTCATCCGATATTTATAAAGATTTAAAACCAATTACTTGTCATGGAGTTACTATAACAACAACAACAACAACAACAACACCACTACCAACACCACCTCCACTACTACCCCCACCACCACCCCTAACAACAACAACAACGACAACAAATTGTATATCAGTACTTGGTGAAATAACATCATCATCAAGCTTTCCTACGGACTATTATTCATCTTCTAATTCCTCTATAATTTCATCAGTAGTGACATCAGCAACACCAGTAACATTCAATGATACATCATCAATAATCATGATCAAAATTTTTTATTTATTAGAAACTATATGTCGATCTAAACATTTAATATACGAAGAAAAATTAAAAATTCTTATGAATATAGCAGAATATATAATAAAATTTTATGAATATTTAACAAATTCAAGTACCAATGATTCATTTACAGTAAGTTACATTGTCGTATTGTTTAAGATTATGATTGGTCAGTTTTGTATTGATATATGTATATCTTGTACACATTGCCTCGATATTGCTGGTGGGTGGTCTATGCACCTTCACGAAGAGTAACAGGCTTGAGTAAGTAAAAGCATAAATGGATAATGATAAACAACAATCGAATCCAGGACATGCGACACTTCGTTCTATCTGGAGCTCATCAACTGGGCGTACCTACATCTCAGAGTTGATATTCACTCCGAGACTTAAACCCAGTACCGTTCAGTTCAAATGCCATCACGTTATCTAATTACCTGATGAGTCCTGATAACCACTTGCTTGTGCAATGGGGTGAAGTTTAAACTCACTTGGTATTCTTTACTTGAATCTTCTCATTTTAGTTTAGTAGTGAAATTGATCAGTCTCATGTTGGCATATATGTAACCTGTGTGAATTGTCTCAATATTGCCTTAGCTCTTAAGAAGTACAAGCAAAGATGAATAGTGGATAGCAGTGGAATCTAGTTTGACGGGCGAAGCTTCGTTCTATTTGGTATTTGTCAGTTCGATGTATCTGTAACCCAGAGTTGATGTTTACTCCGGGACTTGAACCTAATACCGTTCGCTTTATTATATGTTATTCTTCTCCTAACAGCTCGTATTACTGAATCATTTGTATAAGCAAAGAATATTCATATGTTTTTAACAAAAAAAAGAAACAATTCTACTATGAATGAATTTTCTCAACGCTAATTAGATCGATTGATGATGTTATCAAAGGGGATACCGCTTTAGTGGCCTTAAATCTGAGTCCAATCACATTATTTGTTGAGTTGTTATCAAAATATACATCCCAGTTATCTTCGTACATAATCATCGACTTAAATCACGTTAGAGAATGACACAATTAAACAAGTCAAATAACAGAATAAAGTTTGAATACGTATGTTTTCTACATTCATTCATTTGGATAGACAATCAGGAAAATAAAACGAAAAGCAGAAGGTGAATCGAACAAAATCGGAGGAGGCATGTAATCCAGCTCTATTTAACCAAGAGTAAATTGATATTTATAGCCCGACCGTTGTTGTTACCTTGACGTGGTGGTCGGGCTTGCCTATCGTGATGAAGGAACTGAGTTATACTGGCTGGAACAACCGTTTCTTAAGGTCCTACCATGCCAGACAGGTCGGTTGAAGAGCGGTAAGACTAAAAGCAACAAATCCAACGTCCGAAGACGAAGTCGTACTGCTGACTGTATAGAGGTGTGACATCAGTAAGGTGTTTCCTTCAGACAACCAGCATAACAGCGATGCTGTTTTCCCACAAGGAGGAGTGGGGTTAGAAAAGGTCGACCCTAAAAATGCACATCTCGCCCTATCCCATGGATATCCGTCTCCGGCGGTAAGGTCTGAACAAGTACGGAGCTAACACAAAAACTACTCATAAAAAGGTCGTGTGTGACTGACCTCAAGCAGCTGTCCCTTGGGCACTGCGGTCACGCTCTCAGGTCACTATGACCACCTCCAATCCGATTTCATTTTCAGGTACCTCCAGAAGAACCCTTCCACGGTGTGGGCAATCGGGAAGTGATAACCGCCCTCATACCTCTAAAAGCACTCAAGATTGACTGACTGATATTTATAGTCAAGCAAAAGCAAGTTACAGACATGATGAATAGGATAAGTAATTAACATATACGACCACATAACAAAATAGTCAAGATTAATAAGCGAATAAGTGACAAGGTAAAAATAGGCTTGAGAAGAATCAATAGATTAGTCTATTTAGAGGCTAGAATAACCTCAAATAACTTCATATGTGAACTTCCATCATTTATCCTTGATATTCTATATGATTCTTTCAATTCACAATTCCTTTCTATTTCCTTTTCTATTCTTTTCAACTCATTCTTGTTAACCTTCTGCTGTTAGGTTTTCCACTTCCGCTTGGTATTACGCACTACTTATATCTGTCGATATAAATACCATATATCACAATTATTCTCCCTTTAAACGATAGTCCTTACAATTGTTCTACTCGATGTACCATGTTGAAATGTCGAGTTCGCTGACCTCTATAACAATGTCAACCTACCGGGTTATCTAAATACGATATCCCTCGAGCAGCTATACATTTCACCCCTTCCCTCTCCATCGACAACAACCGCTACAACCAACAACAACTCACCAGAACACTTTACTTTATGTCACTTTCTCCTGCACCAAATATTGTCTTCTCCCAACCACGATATCAGTTAGATAGTGGTAAAAATAACGCTGAATACATCATAGTCATATCGGTACTCCATTGTAATTATTCGATATATCTTTGAATCATCTAATATTTACACATATCAAAATCATTGATTTAATCCAATGATTTCATTTATCTATATATCATCATGTTTTACCTACTACATTTACAATTTTCTTTATAGCAGGATCATGAAACTCCATTGAATCTTACACAACCAAAACCGTTGAATAAAGAAACAAATATCAATGTATCTCCGTCGTTTACATCACTTCAATCATTATCGTCATCTTCTTCTTCTTCTTCATCATCATCATCATCATCTTCTTCTTCTTCCATCCATCATCATTTCAATCAACAGAATTCCCCTGATCAATCAATGAAACCCAATAATCAATCAATTTTATTATCAACACCAGATAATAACAATAATGATACTTCAACTAATTTAGTAATTCCAATACCACAGTCTATACCTTGGTTACAAAAATCAGATCAATTATCTAATGGATTAATGAATAATTCAAATGATAATACTAATGTGACATTTTCTGAAACTAATTTAACTTCATCATTGAATTGGTTATCAACATTATCAGATGGTAAAGAATTACCAAACTGGTTATTAGAACAGATGACACCAACTAGTGAAAAGGTAAGTGTATAGGAAAAGTTAATCACTATACTTTATAAGTATATCATTGTTCTATCAGTATCTTTTGGTTCCTGAAGTATGATTGTTAAATTGTAGAAGTGTAAGCCTGTGAATGAATATATCCCGATGTATATACTAATTGTCAGAAGAGGATTTTTGTGGAGATGTTTGTAATTTAATAGTTGAATTTATGAGTTAATTAAATGTAGACCAGTATGAAAAATCTGTAAGTACTGAACAGTTGTTTCGTCCCAGTATGAGACTTTTCAGCGATGCGCGTTTACGATCTCACTTATGAGACTCGAACCCAGGACCTATCGATCTTGAGTGCAAACGCTTAAACCATTGAGCTGGTATTCAATGGTGTTAATGTCTAATTTCAACCAATTTATTTACTGGTTATACCATCTAGATACCTTGCTGAATTATACTGTCAATGGATATCTTTCACTGATTATCCTTACACCCAACAGTGCGCATCCATGATTCTGCTCATGGAATTTGAACCCGTCCATCCAGTACTTTCCAGGTTTACAATGATGATCTAGCTTAAATCAATTCATGAATTCAACTAGTAAAAATCATCAGTATAATTCTAGTGAGAAGCCATGACCAGTGGAGCTAATCCGTGTCAAGTAGTGATAGGTATCTATCTCAGTACAATGGAAGATAGTCGCACAATTTCGTGGATTGGTTGAGGTTGGACATTAACACCATTGGATGCCAGTGAGTTCAGTGGTCTAGAGGATAAGCGTTCAAGCGCGAAACGAAAAGCTCTGGTTTCGAAATCCGAAAGCGGGATCGTGGATACGCACAGTTAATGTGTCCCACAATAGGACGAAACGGATGTCCAGTGCTTTCACGTTTCCAACTGTGATTTAAAATCAATCGGTTCATGATCTCAATCAAAAACTTCATAATCTCCACGACCCCTATACTGGTAATGGATCCGAAATTTAACCAAACTGCCTTGTCGGGACTCACTGTTTTTCCATTGAATATCTCAGTAGAATGTTACAATGAAGTTTTATCAAAAGGCTTAATGTTTTTCAGAAAGGATCTTGTGGCGATCGCAGTAAATTAAATAGTTGAGATCATGAGTCAATTGAAACTAGACCAGCACGGAAAACCTGTAATTACTAGGCAGCCGTTTCGTTTAATTATGGGACTTGTTGAAAGTGCACATCTACGATCACACTCGTGAGATTCGAACGCAGGACTTTCACATGAGATCGAAGTTCATGAGTTCCGATCCCTTTGGTACGTGGTCGTGGATATTCATATGCTGAAGAGACCTATACTAGAATGAAGCAGCTATCCAGTACTTCCAGGTATTCGTGAGATAGAAACTCACTGACGACAATGCTGGATGTGTCGCTCAATTTCGTGGATTAGTTGAAGTTAGGCATTAACACCATTGGATGCCGGCTCAGCGGTCTAGTTGGTAAAGTACCTGGCACAAGACCGACAGGTCCTGAGTTTCGATCCCTCAGTCGGCGGGGTCATGTGTGCTCACTACCGAGAAGTCCCATACTAGGACGAAACGAACATCAAACAGTGCTTTCAGGTATTCTATGGTGGTCTAGCTTAAATCGACCTATGAATTCACCTATTAAAACTTATAAACCAATTAATAACTGAAGGAAATTCACTCTCATACTAAACTTGATCCAATTTAAGATGGGTTGATTTTCAAATTTGTTTGTTAAGTTATTGGTCAAATTATGGTAACAAATTCACTTGGTGCTGTTTACTTGTATTTACCCGTTATTATTTAGATCTGTAATTGATCAGTCTTTTGTTGGCATATATGCATCCTGTACGAACTGCCTCAATATTGCTTTAATTCACAAGCTTTATAAAGAATGATGGACAGAGGCTAATAGGGTAACTCAAAACGTATGTTTCATCTTATTTAGTACATGTTAGCTGAATATACTTACATCCTAGAATTAATGTTCACTCTAGGACTCGAACGCAGTACTGAGTGAATATCGACTCTGTGATGTAGGTAATATCCAGTTGATATGTCTCAAATAGGATGAAACACACCTCCTGGATTCCATTGTTAGCCATTATCTATTTTTACTTATATAAATACATAACATAGATCCTGGGTTAGAATCTCACAGGGGGTGGGGCGTGATCATGGATGCGCACTGTTGACGAATTACAAAATAGCATGAAACGGTCATCAAACAGTACTTCCAGGTTTCCAATGATAGTCTAACATCAATCTGTTCATGATCTCAATCAAGAAAAATATTAAAAATTATTACAATCTCCAAAAAACACCACCCACTCCGCCATCACCCCCACATTTATTATTAATTTCCCTTAGTAACTTGAATTGTATTAAATATAATAATTATTATTATTATCTTTCTCTATTATCTCCTTTAATTTATATTATAGATGAATATACATTCAATTTCACAATCCAATAATGCAATTACTGAAACAATGTTAAATTATTTAAAATTTTATTATTCAAGACTTTCAACAAATGAAAATTCATATGATCATCATCCTTATCATGATCATCATCATGATCGTGATCATCATCATCAACATCATCATCAACATCAACATCATCATGATCTTCATCATGATTATCAGCATTTATCTCAACAACAAATTCTATCACAAATGGAACATATTATTCAAATGAAAAAATTTCTAAAATTATCTAATAAAGAATATACTACTGATAATCAATTACTATTAAATAATAATACTACTACTAATAATAATACTAATTGTTATCAACTATTACATAATCATATTGATTTTATTGATAAAAACATTACTATACAAAAATCAATAAATCAATTACATGATATCATTGATCAAACAAAATTTAAATTTAATAAAGAATCAATAATACCATCAATAGTAACTATGCCAACATCATTATCAGAAAATATTGTAACGAATAATATTTCATTAAATGGATCAATAATTAATAATAATAATAATCATTCATTGTCATTTTTAAATGTTTCTCTTCCATCTTCAATGTATTTATCATCATCATCAGCAGCAGCAACGGCTGCGGCGGCGGCGGCAGCAGCGTCAGCAGCATCAGCATCGGTGGCAGTAGCAGCGGCAACCGTATTAGGACTTTCATCGTCTTTGGAATATCCTTATACACATCAAGCGAATACGATCAATCATTCATTTGATAATAATAATAATAATAATAGTTTTCTATCATTTAATGAAAAATTAAAGTCTATTTCCGAAACAAACAATAATAATAATAATCAATTCGGTTTTCCATTACAATCTATGTATAATAGTAATGATACTAATGGTTATACTACTGATTTATATAATAATAATACTAATAGTATTAGTAATAATCCAGGACCTATCATTGTCATGGATACGAAGTTGTCAACTACACAAACACCAATTACTAATCTATCATCATTAATTAATCATAATAATAATAATGCTAATAATAATTCAATAATAAATGAGAACAATTCTAATGGAATAACCTATAATCAATCAATATTTTATAATCCTACCATTAATACTACTCATAATGATAATGATAGTAGTAGTAGTACTACTACTACTAATACTATTACTAGTACTACTATTACTACTACTACTACTACTAGTAGTAGTAGTAATAATAGTAGAAATACAAAATATAATGATATATATAGCTATACATTAACACAGAATTCAAATGACTTAACTAAACAACATATTACATCATCATTAACAAAATTTACACATTTCAATTTAATCAATAAATTAGATCCTATCAATGTAAACTTAAATTTAATCAATACTGTGATCTCATCAAATGATCCTAATCATCATCATCATCACGATCATCATCATGATCATGGAATCAATCAAAATACTACTATCAATGATGAAGATGATATTAGTAGTAATAGTAATAGTAATAATAGTAGTATAAGTGATAATGATATCATTTCTAATAAATCATCTATATCTATTAATAATGATAATAATAATAATAATAATCATATAGAAATAATTAAATATGAAAAAAATAATCAATATCCAATCAATCAATATCATCATTATATGAATCAATCAATAAAAAAAAAGAAAAATTTAAAATCAACTTATTCTAATTCAAATGAAATTATAGAAGAGAATGAATTCAATTATGAAATTTATCAAAAAACTCAATCTATTCAATCATATCAAGTAGGTAGTATATTGTTCATATTATACATAGAGATTGAGACTGAGATGTAATCACAATTGATTGATCACTGGGTGGGGGTGACCAATGTCATATGCTACAGTAGGTCGATCACTGCCTGGATAGCTCAGTGGTAAAGTCTCTGACGGTGAAGCTGAGTGACACGAGATCGAATCCGTCAGGGAGTACTAGTTCCTTCAAGATTACAGGTACAGTATGTTGACAAGTGACAAATAGAACGAAATTCGAGTTCAGGGTTTCCTGTCGACTACCTCCAACCACCATCTTATCTCAACATAATGCACGCAGTGTCAAGTCACCTAGACTACTGGCCACATTGTAACATAGTCGATAGTATTCGATCTGCACTAAAGAAAAACTTGACACCCATGACATTAATCACTCATCACTCAGTGATCATTCAATTGTAATGGAGATATGTAAGGCAATTCAGTTTGATAGTAGTCAGTGATTACAATAAGTTTATATATTATTCGATCATTGGTTAAAAATCATGGTTTTTCAATCCACCCCTCCCTAAATGAATCCTCTGTATACACTAATTTGGTTAAAGCTCAGGACTTACAGTTTTAATTTTTTTTTTTGTAAACAACATCTTGACTATGAGAAGGTAATAAGTGGGATTATCCTGACAGTTACTATATATACGTGGGAATATGAGAGAATTTTAATAAAGGTGCAAACTTTTCACAACCTCAGTCACTCAAAACAGTGAAAAGTACTGTCTTGTCTTCTTTAATATACAATTTAGGTAACGTTAGTAAACCTCACCATGTACACTCACAGTCTGGATCAATCAATATTTGTTTACTGAAGTTAGTCAGTATCTTTTGGGTTTGATCTAAGAAGCATTTGCAATATTTAGCATGGTTCCGAAACTTTAAACCCAGTACGTCTTGTTTTCAAAAACACCCAATGTGTTATTCATTGAGTTGTTTGAACTCAGTAGTCAATACATTTAGATATGTACATTCTGTGTGGATTGTCTCGATATTACCTCAAAGTCATAGATAATGGCTAACAGTGGAATCCAGTTTGACGTGCGTTTCGTCCTTTCATCTCAGAATTGATGTTCACTCTAGGTCTAGAATCTCACTAAACTATTCATAGAACCGATTACATTTTATGATTTATTATCCTTATTTCTTTGACTAACAAAGAATAGTAGTATACTTTACTAGATTATCACTAATTGAAAATAAGTCAAAATATAAACGGTAAAAATAACATCTAATTAATCAATGATCAAACTATTTCATATGAATCAGAAAAGGGTTTGTAGAGATTGTAGTAATTTCAATAATTGAGATCATAAGTCAATTAAAGCTAGACCACTATGGAATACCTGGAAGCACTGGATGGCCCTATTCTTTTTATTGTGGAACTCCCAAGAAGTGCGAGGTCATGGATGAGCACTGTTGAGGAGTCCCACAATGGGACGAAATGACCATCCAATGCTTCCAGGTTTTCCATGGTGGTCTAGTTTCACTTGACTCATGATCTTAGTTATTAAAATATTTCATATGAATCCAAACTTTGTCTGCCATAATGATCACAATTGAGAACTTTGAATATAGAGTAACTTCATTGTTCAGTATATTACCACTTTTATAGTTTTTTAATTGATGTCATTTTATGTTGAGTATCACCTTGAGGGGTCAATCAGTAGCTATAACTATGTTCGATATAATTAACATAGTTTGAAATAATGGGGGAGATTTGTAGATTAGGTGGATGATTTTGATAAAGTTTTGTTCTCTAAGCTGGATGGTTTGGTCGTAGAGCTTTCATCGTTTTTCTGAATGACGTCGTCAACTGAAGATGAAAACTCCACGACCGAACCATCCAGCTCAAAGAACAAAAATCCTTCAAAATAATTAACAGCTATTCTGAAGGTAAAGACCCTTCCTCTTTCTCCTGATGATTGACTGGATCATGTAGAGATCAACATCTGAGGGGAAGCATGGGGTACAGTGGACAGTTAGGATGCAGTTGGACGATCTAGACTTCGCAGATGATCTTCTATTGCACACGCAAGAACAAATGCAGAGGAAGACGATCAGTGTAGCAGCAGCATCAGCAGCAGTAGGTCTCAACATACACAAAGGGAAAAGCAAGATTCTCCGATACAACACAGCATGCAACAATTCAATCACACTTGACGAAGATTCTGAAGATATAAAAACCTTTACATATTTGGGCAGTATCATCGATGAACACGGTGAATCTGATGCAGATGTGAAGGCACGGATCCGCAAAGCGAGAGAAGCATATTTACAACTGAAGAACATCTGGAACTCAAAACAACTGTCTGTCAACTAACATCAAAGTCAGAATTTTTAATATAAACGTCAAGACAGTTATACTGTATGGGGCGGAAACATGGAAAACCACGAAAGCCATTATCCAGAAGATACAGGTGTTTATTAACAGTTGTCTACGCAAAATACTTCGGATCCGTTGGCCTGACACTATTAGCAACAACCTACTGTGGGAGAGAACAAATCAAATCCCAGTGGGGGAAGAAATCAGGAAGAAGTGCTGGAAGCGGATAGGACACACATTGAGGAAATCATACAACTGTGTCATAAGACAAACTCCCACATGGAATCTTCAATGCCAAAGAAGAAGTGGAAGACCAAAGAACACATTACACCGAGAAACGGAGACAGACATGAGAAGAATGAACAACAATTGGATATAAGTATGAGGGAAGGCTAAGGACAGGGTCAGTGGGTTGGAGAATGCTAGTCGGCGGCCTATTCTCCATTGAGACTAGCAAAAGTAAGTAAGTAAGTAAGTAAGTAAGTAAGTACTAAAGAACGAAGTTTATCTAACCTGATATTAGTATTGTATTCATTCTATGTTATAATATTGAGTTGTTTTTAATTCATTTCAGACACAAATGAAATCACAACGTACAACTAAATCAAATCCTGATCAACATAATGATAAATCTTCTTCTCATATTAAACGACCAATGAATGCTTTTATGATATGGGCAAGAGATGAAAGAAGAAAAATTTTAAAAGTAAGTATATCTATTATCTAGAAATAGTGGTAAAACTATCATTTATATACAAACAAACCAATCAGATTGAAGATAATAGACCTTGGATTTTGGCGCGAAATTCATTCGTTCATTTGGTTAAATATCATTTTCAGAAGGGGTTGTGTAGAGATTTTTGAAATTTCACTGGTTGAAATCATGAATCAATTGAAGCTAAACCACCATGGAAAACCTGGAAGCACTGGATGGCCGTTTTGTTCTATTGTGGGACTCCTCAGCAGTACGTATCCACGATCCCGCCCCCCGAGAGATTCGAGCCCAGGACATATCAGTCTCGCACCAGGCGATTATTTAACTAGACCATTGAGCCGGCATCCAACGGTGTTAATGTCTAACTTCAATCAATCCACGAAGTTGCGCCACCATCACCGTTGTCTTCAGTGAGCGAGAGACTGATAGGTCCTGGGTTCGAATCTTGCGAGGAGCGGGATCGTGGATGCGTACTGCTGAGAAGTACCATACTAGGACGAAACGGCTGTCCAGTGCTTTCAGGCTTTACATGGTGGTCTAGCTTCAATTGACTCATAATTTCAATCAGTGAAATATCATTTTGGTATTTTATCTAATGTTAGTTCGTGATAAATCCTATTCGATGGTGGTTGGAGGTAGTCGACAGGGTTCCCTATCAACAAGGTTTCCTGTTGACTAACTCTAACTATCATCTTATCTTAACATAGTGCACGCAATGTCGAGTCACCTAGACTGGTGGCCATATTTCAACATGGTCGATAGTATTCGATGTACACTAAAGAAGAACTTGACACACATGATATTGATCACCCACCACCCTTACTATCAACTGTAAATTCTAATTGTAATTCCTCACACTAATCTATAACTTTCATTTAGCCCTAATTAGTAGGTGGATATTCCAAGGTTATTTTAGCATTGCCAAAAGGTTGTTCATAAATTATATTCTCTTACCGTATTCATATTGAATAGTAGAATAATTTAACATGTATTCCAACAGTTAGATACCATCATCAATCTAATTTCAGAACACTATGAAACTGGTTTGTTGTGTTATAATACAGTGAACCAGAAACTATCTGTTAGGTATAAACTAATCGATTTAGCTTAAGAAATTAGTGTACTGAAATCAATTCCTTTATGTAACTTAAATGATGGATGAGTCGATTCCAAATAACTTCTAACATGCGTTCTAAGTAATTAAGATCAAGTTATGAATTTACAAGTTCCACAGATCAAAATCAGATCCATACACGTAAGTGATGTCTAATTGATAGATGACACCGTGCTTTCTTACAGAGATAAGAATAATTGGATAACCAAGGGAGTTCTACTCAATGCCTTCTCATACCAGGGGTGTTACTTACGAAATTGAGAGGATGTAAAGTGAATGTTCGACGCTTTAATCGGGTTGGTGGATATGAATGATCCACCTTGAGGAGTTGGAAAACCCTGTTTCCAAGCAAATGATAAACATGGTCTCCAGGATCCTGAGGGAAAAAATGGCATATCAACCAACTGTTTGTCACTCACTACCATGGAACTGAATCTCCTGACATTGTTCCACTACCTTGTGAATCATACTTGTAGGTCAAAGGCTCCGGGTGTAGCCCCTTAAGAAAACCACCTACTTCTGTTTGGGTACCCGGACAGTATCCCAGCCCATACACAAATCGAATGATTTATGTGACATATATCTAATTGGTACCTCTTTGTACCAATACCTATGCGTTTAAATAAATAAATAAACTGGATAATCAATAATAATTTACAAGACCTATAATAACTTTTGAAATATTAACCATGAGTCAATTAAAGCTAGATCACTATGGAAAACCTGAAAGCATTGAACGGTTGTTTGGTTCCAGTATGGGAATCCTCAGCATTTTGTATCCAACATCCTGTACCAAACAGATTCCATACGCAAAACTTTCCATCTTGTATGTGAACATTTAACCTCTAGGTAACTAAATCGACCAGAATCTAACATTGTTAATATCTCATTTCAACCAAATCATGATATCTTAATTTACCCCCCCCTTTTTTTATTTCTTACATTGTTTAGTACATATTTGATTAGAGTATACAAACCAAAACTTGACATAAAGTTATATTCATATTTCTTTTTCTTTCTTTTTTCTTTTCTTTATGACATTACTGTTAAAATGAATGAATCAAAGTGATAATATCAGTAATAATCAATTGTCAATCAAATTATACAATAAATATGATCATGTGTAAACATTCTAAGTATAATCTTTTTGAGGTGAGGTGAGGTGGGGAGAGGGGGGAGGAGGGAGGGAGGAGGGGAGGGGGAGGGGGAGGGGGAGGGGGAGGGGAAGGATCACAATGTATTTGACATTTTGTTTAATAGTAATTCTATGTACATATATGTCACTAATAAGTAGATTAGTAGTAGTTATAGTAAATTTTATTTTGTTTATGATATTCATGTATAAGTGACACAATATGTGACACAATGTGAATAGGTAACCTTATTTTTTTTTACATAAATAATGATATCAAACAAAAGATGGTTACATTGTGGTATGGGTTACTTATATATCTACATAAGTAGTATATAATGGTGATCAGGCATAAAATGTATTTCAGTAGAAGGTCGATGAGGAAAAAATGGGGACGGAATGAAAACATATGAACAATGAAATCTGAGACAATAGATTGATGTTTACAACAGGAACAGTCAAGTTTGATATGTGATGGATTGATATTTTACAAATTAACGACTCAATATATGGTTCTCAGATTTTATTGAGATGCTCTATAATTTTGTGCTCAAATACATCCAATTGTCTCCACTGGTGTTCAGTTCACTACAACATTATTATTGAATATAAAATGGTCATTAGAATATATGTCCAGTTCAGTTTCAATAATGAAATATATAGACAAAGGAATGGGATCACAATGGGATCTCCATTGGGTCCAATTTTAGCAGACTGTTTCATGGCAAAAGTAGAAAACGATCAACTCCGCTCAATGATCAATCAATTTCATCTATACGTGAGATACATGAACGACACGTTTGTCGTCTGCGACAATAATATTGATTTAGATAATATTTTACATACCTTTAACTCATTCCACCCTTCCATAGACTTCATGTTAGAAAGGGAACGAGACCAATCAATTCCTTTTCTCGATGTACGTCTGATGAGAAGAAGTAATGGTTCTTTGAAAAGATCCGTCTTTAGAAAACAAACATGGAATGACCAGCTAACCAACTTCTATAGTTGGGTCCCGTTCAGTAGAAAGAAAAACCTCATCCATTCTTTATATTATCGAATACACCAGATATGAAGTACAGAATGCATTAATGAAGAACTCGCATTCCTCAAGAAAACCTTGACGGAAATGAATAGAAGTAGTTACGACAAGAAATCTAGTTGTTCCGTCCCGAAGAAAAACCTTTATATAAGTCTGGAATTTAAAGATGGTCGAACATCAGACGTAATCAACAACAACGACTAGAAGAACATTTAATGCGGCTAAACTACGAATAACCTTAACCAGTTGGAACTTATTTTCTGTATCCATAAAAGATAAGCTTCTGCATCTGGTCGCCTCTATGTACATCTACCAGTTCACCCGCTCTTATGGAGCAAGGTACATTGGCCGTAGCCAGAGCTTTCTTTCAACTCGGATACGGGAACATATTCCAGCTTGGTTCTATAAGAGTGAAAAGAAAGCAGTTAGGAGTTCTATACTTGAACACCTAATCAACTGTAACCATTCTACAGATCCATAAATTGATTTTAAGGTTGTATATATGATTCGTTTAAATCTACCCAGATTTCTTCGTATCCAACTCTTAAAAATAGCAGAAGCTCTTACCATTTAAGGAGCTTAGACCAGAACTATCCGTACAAAAAGTACATCTTATCGTTATTGTTACCTTGGCCATAATTATTTTGATTATCCTATTATCATTATTATTACTGTATTCCCCTTTTTTTATGTCTTATATTCTCATTGTTTTTATTCGTGAATGCTCATCAGATCATCAGAATAGTATGGTATATTGCCTGTTACAAAGTATTTGGTTAACTATGTATGTATACAAAAAATGAGACCGTAATCATGAAAAACTACTTTTATCAAGTTATTACCTGTTTATTTGAACATATAAATATTGATACAAAGAGGCACTGATTACATTTGCACCACATAGTCACTTGATTTGTGTGTGTGGGGGGGGGGTTGCAATAATGCCCGGATGCCCAAACCGAAGCATGTAGTTTTCTTAGGGGGTCATACTTGAAGCGTTCGACCTATAGGTCTAATCCAGGTGGCAGTTGAACAAAGTGAGGAGATGTAGACCTATGGTAACCAGTGATCAACAACTGATTCATACGCTGTTTATTCCCTCAGGATCCTGGAGACCATGTGCAGCATTTATTTGAAATCAGAGTTTTCCAAATTCCTTAGGTGAACCCTCTGTGTTCACCTGATCATAGGTGTCTTCGAAGCATTGCTTGTATATCCTGGAACCACGAAGTATGTAATGCAGTTGTTAGGAACCTGGTACTAGGTAAGAATAGCAAATTAATTGATGAAGTATTAAAACTTCAACAGTTCAGATGGCTGGGATATGTATTACATATGCCCAACCATCGACTTCTTCGACGAGCGATGTTTTATAGTGGTGTAGGAGTAAGTTGGAAGAAAGTTACTGAGTAGTCCCACAATAGGACGAAACGGCCGTCCAGTTCTTCTAAGTTTCCAACGATAATCTAACATCAATCGGTTCATGATCTTAATCAAAAACTATTACTTTTAGTTGTCTCTATTTTCTTCTTTCATTCCTATCTCTTCTTCTTCTTCTTCCTTTTAAGCTTCTCTCGAACTTTATTTATTTTTAAATAATTTTCTTTTTTCTTTATATGATATTCTATGAACAGTCGTTAAAACAGCTGATTAATTATGAATTCGATATAATCACAACAACAACAACAGTGTGGGGGGGGTAGGGGTGTTTGTTTGTTTTCTTCTTCTTCTTCTTCTTCTTTTGCTTCTTTATGTTCTTCTCATGTTATACCCAAATTGATTTGATAAACAATCATCATTAGAATAAACATACACATTACTATTTTGTATACCATTTACAACAACACTACCATTTTCTTTTTTTGTTTGTTTTGTTTTCTCCTTCTTCTTCTCCTTCTCCTTCTTTCTTTCTTTCTTTCTTTCTTTCTTTGAAATTGACATACACCATACGATATGTAGTAAATGTAAACTAAGGTTATCATATTCTATTGTTTTGATTACATGTTATTGATGAATAAAAACAAAATTTGTTTGTTTATCTGTTTGTTTATTTGTGCTGTTTGTTTGTTTGTTTGTGTGAGTGTGAGTGTGTGTTTGTTTATTTTTGTGTATTTTGTTTGTTTTATTTTTTTTCGTCAAATCTCCTTAATGGTTACATGGTTATTTCATCTGTTTCTGTATATTTTTTTTCTCGTTTTTACCAAAAAAGAAGAGAAAAGAAAAGAGAGAGAAAAGAAAAGAAAAGAAAAGAAAAGAAAAACTCGACGGGATTATATTACACATAAAAAAATAAACAGCATGAATCAGTTGTAATAAATAATCATAATAAAATAAATGAACAATAGGTCACAGATTATGTAGTTAACCTTCATGGGATTGTATATAAACTTATCCTTCTTCTTCTTCTTCTTCATCATCATCATCATCATCCTCATCACCATCTTATTCTTCTTCTTCTTCTTGTGTCTATTAAGTTTGACCTTTACATAGTAGTTTGTTTTGATTTTCTCTATTCCATTTTGTACTAATGATAACAAACAGGCTACCGAGAGAACAAGAGCGAGCGAGAGAGGGGGGGTAACGAGAGTGAAGAGGTGAGGGAGGGGGGAAAGAATGATAAATTCAATTATTATTATTATCATTATTATTATTATTATTATTTTGATTAATTGAGGTGAAAGTATTTAGTTAGTTTCATAGTTGTGTCCCCCTTAAAAAAAACAAAACAAACAACCAATGTCATGAAATAATTATAATGTAATGGACAGTTGTTTTTATTTTTTTTTTTGTACTTTTGTACCCCCTTGTGTATATACTTTCTAAATAAACCAAATTACTAATCTGTATTAATAATGTTTCAATTAAAGATGAAAAGTTCAGTGAAAGAAAGTAACTGCCTTACTTACTTACTTACTTACGCCTGTTACTCCTTGTGGAAAAGTATAGACCGACTACCAGCACTCTTTATCTAATTCTGTCCTAAGTAATCCTTTCCAGTTCTTTGCAGTTGTTATTCATCCTTTTCATATCTGATTCCAATTGCCGATGTAGTGTGTTCTTTAATCTTGCTCTTTTGCGTTTTGGTTCAGATTTGTGATGGAGTTTGGTGATTTCTGTAATGTATATCCTATGGATTTCCAATGTCTTTTTTAATTTCCTCTTCAGATGAATGCTGGTTTGTTCTCTTCTATAGTAATCTGTTGCTAATGGTTTCTGGCCTACGGACAATTGTTCGTAAATACTTATACCTTTTTGTTTATGGTTGTGGTAGTTCTCCATGTTTCTACTTCATAGATTAGAATGATCAAGATGCTTGTTTTGAAGATTCTGACTTTGATAAAGTTGACAGCTGTTTTGAGTTCCATATATTCTTCAATTGTAGGAATACGCCTTTGCTTTGACAATCCTCACATTTACGTCTGCTTCGTATCCATCTTGATCATCAATGATGCTTCCCAGGTACGCGAAAGATTCCACATCTTCCAGCTTTTCTGATTGAGATCATGAACTGATTGATATTAGACCACCATTGAAAACCTGGAAGCACTGGACGGCCGTTTTGTCCTATTGTGGGACTCCTCCGTGGCAGTGCCCATCTACGATCCCGCTCGAGGGATTCGAACCGAGGGCCAGCGTTTCACCATCAAATGTGATTGGGTGGTCTTTTTCGGTTTTGTATTTCAGAATCTTCCTTTTTCCTTTGCGTATGTTGAGACCTACTGATGCAGAGGCTACTGCTACACTAGTTTTCATCATCTGCATTTGTTAGTGTGTATGGGATAAGAGGGCTAGTTGGTCTGAGAAGTTTAATTGATTCTGACCTGTCCATTGTAACCCGTGCTTTCCCTCAGATGTCGAGGTCTTCATTATCCAGTCAAGTACCAGAAAAACGAGAAAGCGGAGGAGTAGACAGCCTTATCTGACTCCGGTTCTTACTTGAAATGCATCTGTCAGCTGACATATCACTAAATACTCCATCAAAAAAAAAAGGTTTCAATTTAGAAATTATTTTCTTCTGAATAAAAACTTCAAATACTAACTTACTATGACTGTTAGTCAAAGTAACTGTTCCTGAAACTAATTCACTTCAACACTTGTATCATTCATCACCATGATAGGTTACTTACGTACTTACTTATGCCTGTGATCCCAAATGGAGCATAGGCCACCGACCAGTATTTTCCAACCCACTCTGTCCTGGTTCTTCCTTTCTAGTTCTTGACATGTTACACTTGATAATTAGTAACTGAGAAATTTTGTATTCATTCACTTCAATACATTAGTATAGTTGACAAGTGATAAGATTGTGTTTTCTACCGATCAGGTAACTGAGGTATACTACTCCTAGGTATTGTACTTTATCATCATGAAAATCAAATGATTAAGTTGAAGCTTTTTTTATTTTAATCATTTCAGAAAAATCTTTTATTCACTTTCTTTTAAATAGGCATGCCCTGATATGCATAATAGTAGTATATCTAAATTTCTTGGAGCTAAATGGAAATCTATGAGTGCTGAAGTTAAACAACCATATTATGAAGAACAAGCTCGATTAAGTCGTCAACATATGGAAGAACATCCAGCTTATCGTTATAGACCACGTCCAAAGCGTACATGTATTGTTGATGGTCGAAAATTACGTATATCTGAATATAAAGAATTAATGCGTTCAAGAGGAGATTCATCACGTAGACAATGGATTGGTTCAACAGATGAACAATCTCAAAAAATTGTAGAAGATATTTTAGGTAAGTGTATATGTTTGAGTTAATATTAAATATAAAGTAAAATATCATTGTAGTGAATAACAATACAGATGAGGATAACCGATTACATTTAGTACAAAACTACCGAGTCACATGATAAATCATAGTCCAATACTTCACTTGTAAAATGTTGATTAGTTGTCTTAGACATCATTGTTCCTGTATTTCCATACTGATCATTCTTTGTTTCCGTTCTTTTCTCCTCGATCTTGTCAACCTTCTACTACCGAGTACTCTATTACTGATAAGTGTTATATACTACTTATATTGATATAAATAGCATACATCACACCATTACTAGAAATCGCAAACACTTTCAAATTACTTAAGTGTTTAAATACGACTTTATGATTGTTGTTTATATATATAACAGTTTAAAGCTTTATTTTAAGAGTAGTACATTGATAATTACACTGATAATTACTATGTGCTCACTAGTAAATAGCTTCGTGAGTGAATTCTTGGAGTTCTAGTGAGAAGCTATAACCAGTGGAGCTAATCCGTGTCAAGTAGAAACAGGTATCTACTTCAGTACAATAGAAAATGATCGTGCGATTTCGTGAATTGGTTGAAGTTAGACATTATTGCCGTTGGATGCCGGCCGGCTAAGTGGTCTAGAAGCTAACCATTCACATATAAGACCGGAAAGTCTGGGTTTGAATCCCGCATTCAGGACCGTGGATGCACAATGTTGAGGAAAGTGGTCTAGAGGTTAACCATTCACACATAAGGAGTCCCATACTAAGATGAAACGGCCATCCAGTACTTTCAGGTTTCTAATTGTGGTCTAGTTTAAATCAACTCATGAATTGAACTATTAAATATCATTTCTTTGAATTATCTACGAACAGTATTTAAAGAAATATTCTAATAACCACAACTACTCTCGTTAATAAATATAAAATGAATGATTCTCTTAAACAAAGATAGTGTCTAGTAGTGGAATCCAGTTTGATGCGCGTTTCTTCTTATTTGGGACTCATCAACTGGATGTACCTGCATCCCATGGTTGATATTCACTCTGGAACTCGAATCCAGTACCATCCGCTTCAAACGCTATCGTGTTATCCACTTAGCGACTGAGTCCTGATAGCCATCTACTTGTGATGATGAGTCCCAAAAAGAACAAAACCCGTATCAAACTGGATTCCACTGCTAGCTATTATCCATTTTTGCTTAAAAAAACTTGTGACTTAAGGCTATATCAAGGCTATATCCTCATATATACTAACATGAGACTAAATCAATTACACTCCTAAATAACAATGGAAAGATATAAGTAAAACAACATCAAGTAAATGATTCTCTTGTCTTGATTTTTATCTTTCTACTATTTCCCATTCCATTTTCTTTCCCCACCCTCTCCCCCCACACACTGTCTTTCGCTTTCTATCAAACTCTTTCTTCTTTTAATCAGATAAACAAAAGCCTAATCTTTCTACTGTATCCTTTTCTTCTTCTTCTTCTTCTTCTTCTTCTTCTTCTTTACTGTAATTCATTGAAGTACATCACACTTTCTCCAACATCTTCGCTTATTATTATTATTATTATTATTATTATTATTATTACCATTAATATGATAATGATTATTATTGTTATTCTACTATTTATTGTTTATGGTAATTGTGTGAACAATAATGATCAAGAGTTTGTTTGTTTGGTTGTTTGTTTATGTTTGTTTGTGTTATCTTTACAGCTTTATAGTATTTCGTTTATCTTAACTATAATAGGATTGTGTTCTAAGATGGTGGAGATGATTTGTTTCTCTCTATTTTTCTATGTATGTACACACATATATACACAATGTCTTTGCTTATCAATAAATGAGTTATAAGATAAAGTGCACTATTGAAAACCTTTGATGTTCTTAATACTTAGTCATATTGAATTGAATCTATGATGTAATATAAGCAAACTTACCGTAAATTAAAGGATATGAAGATGGGGGTAGGGGTAGGAGGGAGGTAGAGAGGTAGAGAGGTAGGGAGCAAGGAGGTAAACGAATGCTAAAGGTAAAACTAAGCTAATTATTTTTGTTTCCTAAATGTAAACGTCTATATGAATGGTATAGTTACAATACTGTTTCACACTTTCTTTCTTTTTATTCTTAAATGTTGATCTGTAATCAATGAAATAATAAAGGAAATTATCTTTTGTTGATAGGGGCAGCAACAATAGTATACCAGTCATATTAATAATAATAATAATAATAATAATGGTAATGGTAATAGTAATAATAACCATGGTAACTTTGAATCTCTTTGTTGTGCTGATTATGTATGTAATATTATGTAACTAACTAACTAACTAACAATTTTATTGAAATGATTAACCAACCTTTATCCTTCATATCTAATCTATATTACAAATTGAATAAATAGAATAAAGTAATAAACTGAAGATTGTATATCATCTATTTGTTTATTTAAAAGAATAAGATCAAATATTCCGCTTCATCTTCTTTTTGTTGTTGTTGTTGTTGTTGTTGAAAATTCAGTACATCAGTAGTATTTTAAACAAAGGCCATGGATGTGTGTGTCTGTATATATATATACGAGTGTGGGTGTGTGTAAATGTAAATAGATTGTATTTGTATATGTAACTTCATAGGATTAGTTGAATCAATTGTGAATCAATTGTGTATCTATCTGGGACATGTGAATCCCTCCCTCTCCCTCCCTCCCTCTCCCTCTCTCTCTCTCTCTCTCTCTCTCTCTCTATATATATATATATATATATATATATATATATATATATATATACTTGACCACAATGATGTTAAGTTTATCATTATCTTAAAAAGATCATTATTGTATGTACCTCTTATCCCCCTTTTTTATGTATATGTATTTTTCTTTATTATATCTAATCGGTTCATTTAGTTCAATTGAATGTAAACATTAGCACTCAATGAGATATTCATCTTTAGTTATATACTTCAAGAGATACTCCTGGAGTTCTAGTGAGAAGCCGTGACCAGTGGAGTTCAACCAGGACTGTTGTGAGATATCAGCTCACTGAAGACAATGGTGACGGTGGCGCAAATTCGTGGATTGGTTGAAGTTAGACATTAACATTGTTGGATGCCGGCTCAATGGTCTAGTTGGTTAAGTGCTTGCGTGCGAAACCAGTAGGTCCTGGGTTCGAATCTAGCAAGGGGCGAGGTCGTGGATGCGCACTGCTGAGGAGTCCCACAATAGGACGAAACGGCCGTTCAGTGCTTCCAGGTTTTTCATGGTGGTCTAGCTTCAATTGATTCATGATTTCAACTATTGACATATGATATAGACAAATGAATACTCAAGTATTACAGATTGTATAGAGTATACTCATTTAAAACACACTGTAAAGACTGAAACTGTCAGTGTTGGGTTTGAACACAGGACTGACGAACCAAAATGTATTTGAATAAGTTAAACTAGGTTGTTCTGTTATAATGTGCCAAGTGTTTTTAAGATACTCGTATTGAATGATATCAAAACACAAACTCTGTGCTCAATTTAAACGGTTCTAATTTAAGAAATAGAACAAATGATATCAAAAATACAAAATACCTCAAACAGTACAGCCTGTGTTATACAGTCAAAAGTTTCACTAACGCAACTGAGAGAAACAGTTAATACCAGAGGGTTCGATAGCTGAGAATCAATAAAAATATTCCTAACAAAATGTGATCAAATATCTATGTTCAGGGATTCCAGTAATCCTCCTAAACAGACAGTCAAAAGGTTAACAGTCACACACTGAATCACATCGTAACCTTAAGCTTAGTCAAACACGACCTTACTGTCAATAGTCCGACAACATACAATAGAAAATTAGGTAACAAAAGATAAGTCTTACATCAAAATCACATGATAAAAGCTCAGACGAGGAAGACTGAATAATAAAGGATGTGGTTAAACGAGATCTGAATTAAAGGTTAAAATACACAACAGGGATAAGAAACAAATAAATGACAGTACTGTCGAACGAAAACGCTGCAGAGGGATTTTCATTGTTCGCTTTCTGTTACACCCACTTTTAAGCATGACTCTGTTTGTCTGTCAAAGCTTCTGGTTATGTTAACAATAGGACTTTCTTATAGATCATCTACAAAGTGAAAATTTATAAATTATAGAGAAATAAGTAATCATCAGTATAGGTACTGGGTTTGAATCATGCGAACGGGATTATGGATGTGCACTACTGAGGAAGTCCCACAACAGGATGAAACATCCATCCAGTGCTTCCGTATTTTCAATGGTGGTGTAATGTTATTAATCGGTTCATGATCTCAATCTAACAAGTAATCCACTGATTCAAGCTTAAACTTCCTGTATTAAAGAGATATGTCAAATCTCTCATTCTAGGATAGTTTTAACATCCTTTCTATTTATTATCATTAATCATCGGTTATTACTATTGTTCGGTCATACATTAGAGAACAGAAGGGAGGATTATTGTCAACATCTCAGAGCCTGCTTCAAAGAACCTCAGACTAAAATGAAAGGAGTACAATTGTATACCATGACCATTGTCAACTAGCAATCTTCCTTTATCATGGTAAACTTGTTCATAAATGTTTACTACACAATTCTCACTTCTTATATGATTTGTACTTAGTTAATTAATTTATTTCATGTTTTAAGGATCATATAACTTTTTTGATTAAGATCATGAATCGATTGATGTTAGATCACCATTGAAAACCTGGAAGCACTGGATGGCCGTTTTGTCCCAGTATTGAACTCCTCACTAGTGTACATCTACGATTCCGTTCGTGGAATTTGAACCCAGGACCTTCAGTTGTAGAGATTATTGAATGTCATTGAAATCATTAATTGGTGAAAGGTAGACTAACATTAAAAACCTAGAAGCACTAGGAGGATGTTTTGTCTCAATATAAAACTCAGCTCAACAAAGATTAGCTTCGAGAGGAATTCTAACGAAAAACCGTGATCAGTGAAGTTCAACTGTGTTGATTGTCAAGTAGTTACCTA